TATTATAAGGATAGTCTATTATTGTGTTGTATTATAAGGATAGTCTATTATTGTGTTGTATTATAAGGATAGTCTATTATTGTGTTGTATTATAATATAAGGATCATCTGTTATTGGGTTGTACTATAAGGGTCGTCTGTTATTGGGTTGTACTATAAGGGTCGTCTGTTATTGGGTTGTATTTCACGTCATTGGGTCCATTAACCTGTGATATCAATCTCTGGATAAATGAGATATGTCGCCTCTGCTGTTAAAACTAGAAACTCTGTGTAACATTGTGTGACAGGTACTTCAGAGCCCACTGGCTTCCCTCACGAGCTTCCAGCTTCGTGCCATGCTCTCCATTTATTTACCAACGCTTGTCTTCCTACGTTGAGCTCGATATGTGACCGAGACTCGCGGCTGCTAACATGGAATGAAAGCTGCGTGAACCCGCTCTCGTCCATGTGTGATATCCCAGCTACCAACTGTTAGCCAACACGGTTGTCCCGGGCTAGTGTTGGTCACCAGCTGTAAGCTACTTACCGATTTCTCCGTACAAGGACGGTCTGGCCCGGGTGGCCTCCATTTCATGTTACTGCTCCTCTCCTCCGCGAAGCGCGTAGATTCCGCCAAACGTGAAAGTCATGTCTGAGCAGATCAATAATGACAGAGACAACATCATCGCTGCAGCAGCACGCGGGGCTGAAGGGGGGCTGAAGGGGGGCTGAGGTGTAGTCCTGAAAGAGACAAACAGTGCTGTGGAACTCTGGGTAATGTAGGCGACTGACAAGCAGGAAGTGTCCTACAGTCAAGTTAAATAATTGATTTAAAGAAAATAAAACACAACGAAATACCTCCCAGTCACAAATAAAAATTAAATCGACCTAATTATAAATTAACTTTATAATTTGATTATTTATTGACTGTTTCTTCAGTATCATTATACAATTTAATGTTGTCTCAATAAACTGTGTTTATTCAGACATCCTTGGCTAAAGCTACGGTAAAAAGAACAAGTACAGTTTCTTTTTCTTATATCTGTATAGTTGATGTCTACGTCACAGTTCAGGTTATCAAAATCTATCGCCCCAGAGTGTCTCTCCTGCCGGGCGGCTCACAGCTTTGTCAGCCTCTGTAAACTCGGCATATCACTGGTAGTTTTTGCTTTAGCCACGCATGTTGCTGTGACAGGCATGTCGTTTTCAGGAGGTAGGCAGAATTTGGCAAACACCTGACACCAGAGCAAAGAGTACTGGAGGGGTCAACAGAAATCAGTCGCACTCCCTGATGATGTAATTGTAGTTTACAGCAACAACCAATGGGAAGCGAAACACTTGAACAGTCGACCACTTGTGACATTTTGACAGGCACTCAGTCAGTCACAGAGTTCTACTCAGTTTGGTATACACATTTTACATTGTTCTGATTGATCAGATAGTCAGTACAGTATCAGCAGATGCCCTAAGCAGAGGAATAAGAATTCGTATCGGGAAAGAAAAAGTTTGAATTAGCCTGATAGTCCTTCTCTTCCTTACTACAGAAGCTCAGAGGTGAAAGAAAGGTATAATTTAGAAAATAATTCTACTTTGAAGTTTGGACAACAAGAAGATCCAAAATATTTGGGAACCCAGATCATTCACAGAGTTCTGTTATTGCAAATTGAATTAAATAAATTGCTCTCTTAATGAGTCATGAGCAAAATCATGTTTGTTTATATCTGACTCCACACAGTTGGTGCACACACTGTTAGTGCTGTGTCATGATTTGCTCTCTACCTTGTTTGTTGCTGCCATCCTGGGGATGATGTCCAGAGTGAGATCCAAGGGCAAAGTGCTCGTCACTGTACGTGATCAGCGGGGTGAGTGGGTGGACTGCATGGGACGGCTGCACCACGGGGACTTTGTTGGACTGTGAAGAAAAATACAAGGAGATTTAAAAATATGCATGAGCTTCAGCAGCATTATTCAATGTGCAGTATGGCTTCGTTCTTTCCCCATCACATGATGCGGGGACTGGTACAGCCCTCATTGCGGGTGGTCTATTGTGCAGAACAGTCTCCTTATATATGTGAGTAAAGCTTATGAGTATGGTCATGAAAAAGTTTTTTAAAAATGTCATTCCTTCAGTTTACTAGTTTTATGCTTGTGGGACTCAGTCTGCATAACTGCTGATGCACAAAGAGCTTTTCACCTGTTTACACAAAGTTCTGTGACACTCAACTCAAACTTTACTTCCTTGGGCCCTTTACAATACACATACAAAGTGTGAAGCAGATGAGATGAACGGCTCTTGAAAATATGCGAGCCACAGACAGACAGATTTCTGGAATTATGAGATAGATGAGCCCAGCATGTCAGAAACTTTGTTTAGCCTAGGTCAGCAGGATTAAAAAACATCATTCCCTCGAGCAAAGAGGGAAAACAAGGAAAAAACAAGTCAAAGAGGTGCAGGAACATGTTGGAGACAGCTAAAGAGAGAAAGATGCAGGCAGAGCTGGAGCGAATAGGAGCGAGGAAGCAATAGAGCAAAGAGAGGGGAGAGAAAAAGAGACTCACAGGGTAGAGTTAGAGCAGAGGTCTTAGGCGGGAGATCAAAGGGAGTCATTAGCTGGTGAATAAGGGGAGTTCATTACAGAGCAAGAGCCGGGGGAAGGAAAGATGAGGGATGGAGGAGGAGGAGAAGAAAGGGGGGTTGGCTATGGAGGGAGAGCGCGAGTGAGACAGATGTCTGCAGTGGTACTTAATGCAGGGGTAATCACGTCAACAGTGCACCCCCCCCCCCCACATCCCTAGCTGACTCAGATCGAACCCTGCCTCCTGACAACTAAAAGAGGCTGAGTCGGACCCAAAAAAAACCCAGTCCCAACCCCCAGCCAACAGCGCTTACATGCTTCAGCAGCACCAAACACATGGTAGTGCTTAGCCATGCTAAATCTACTATTTACAATCTGAGCCCAGAGCTGAGCTGGAGTCAAAATATCACCTCCACAGGATATATGGCTAATCGGAGAGACATCGGTTCACCGCTGGGTGAGACGCGTCTTACGCCAAACAGCACCCAGAAGCTTTGGATCAAAGGGAAAAAAAGGCCTCATGAAATGGTAATCAGATGCTCCCATGGGAATGTCACCTGATTAGTAAATGTTGTTGAAGATACACATCTAAATTTAAATTCTGAGGAGACAACATAATTATGAGACCGCTTGCTTCAGTGTCCCAGTGAGGTGTGTGCCAAGGTGACATTCCTATGGTGCTAACTGGTGATTGGTGCACCTCCTCGTCCAACACACACACACACACACACACACACACACACACACACACACACACACACACACACACACAGGGGTGGCTGGAATGTCTGAGTTTTCCCGGACCTCTCGCAGGCTGGCACGACTCTCAACTTAATACCTCCCTCCCTCCCTCTCTCCAACTTCTGGGAATGTCCTCACCAGGAACACAAAGGGCAGTATGTGTGCTGCGTTTCCAAAAAGAGCTCAGTGTCCCCAACCGCATGAAGCGTCATCCACATCAGGCTCCTAATCAGCCTAAGAATTTCATCTCCCATAGCCAGTTTTATTTTTTCCCCCAGTTCCATAGTAGTCATCTCCCACAGCCCATATTCTACCATTTCAGGTTAAAAGACAAATCCTGCCTGAAAACTATAATTAAGCCATGATGCAGGATCTTTTTTCACACCAGTCCAGGTGGGTCAGGTTTTGTGACCCCAGCTAACAAGAGTCAAAGGTGATGGGATAATCTGTAGGTATGGGAGGAGTGTCAGACTTTATCCTACAGAGGGGAGGGCTTATTAGTAAGGGTCGCTAACCCTGAAGAAGGGCTAACCAGGACCCGGGCGGCTGGGACATGTCTACACCAGGGGCTAAATGATAGCATTCTCACCCATATTATTTTACGCCTCTCCACTCCCATTTGTTATCCTTTGAGAATGAGATAAGAACCTGGGGGATTATCATTTTAGCTGGAAGTCTTCTCCAACTTCTGGCAAAGGGGGCCAAAGAAAAAGCAAGTGGAGACAAAAGTTAGTCTCTCTGACTTGTTCCTGTACAATCTATAATACTGCAAAAGAATAAAAAGGTGATTGACTCCTTAGCACCAAAGAAAGCTTGGTGCTCTTCCCAGTAACAGCTGTCATATCCTATTTCTGTCAACTTCTTAATAAACTGCCTCCCTTGTGGCAAAATCCATGAGGGAAAAATTGCAGGCCTCTGTGACCAATAGAGAATTTATGGCTGTTTGGTCACATTTACACAAACTGTATGCCCGACTAAAATCTGAGGAAGAGAAGAAGAGCACTGAATTGTAATTGAGGCTTCACACGTCTTCATATCGCTGTATTATGATTGAACACTACGTTTGACTGTCTCCTTAATGTTACAGTGATAACTGGTGTTATGGAGCAACCGTATTAATACTTCCAGGTGGAGACTTGTTCGCTTGCTGTGCCCGCTTCGTGACTCTTGACACAGACAAAAAAACACGACACCCTTCTACCAATTTCCTGGAGTGCGTAGACACTCAACTGACCACGACAATAAGGGCCATGCTGCGTCGCAGCCATTTGATCCCCTCTCATCCCCTGTCCTGACTCGAAAAAACCCATAGTGGCAGCGGTGTTGCAAATGGAGGGCGGCCATATTGGAGGTCCCTTTTATTATACAGGAGAAATAATAGGCTTAGGATATCTCTATTCATATTTTTCAGGGAGAGTGAAAGAGGAGAGGCTGCAAGGACTGAAAAGAAAATGTTCCATTTGGAATTCCATATGCAGGCTTGGCTGGCCCTTTTAAAGAGCCCCTCAGATGTGGTTTTAAGAGAAATTCATTGTGTGGAACTGAAGCTGGCAGCGAGCCCTCCATGGAGGAGACACTCCAGTGTGTTTCAGCACGGGGAGCCAGTGACTTGGCGTGCAGTCTGAAATTGGGGGTGGGGAAGAGAAATGGGACGTTTCGTTTTTGTTTCGTTCGTGTTTTTTCTGAGGGAGGATTTTTCTGACGGCACGCCGGTGTCTCGGAGCTTGTCTTCTGTCAAATTCCACCAACATCCTGCCATGGTTGCTGAGCATGAGTGTGTGTGTTTAAATATGTGTCTATGTGGTATCTGGAGTAACTATCCCTGCAATATTGCCTTTTTAGCATCTCTCTCCCTCTCTCCCCTCACAGCACGGCTTTTGTGCTCCACTCAATTATACCACTTCTGCAGAGTGGAGTAAAAAAAGGGAAAGCAGGAATTTTATAATAATCACTTCCCACTTCTGTAATTTATATGCAATGAGGACTCTTTCTGCCTGCAGCTACAATCAAGTGTGCAGAAACCATGTGAGGTGTTTCACAAACAGCTGGGGAGATGGCAGCTCAAGTGGTGGTGGCTGTGGATTCCCATGCTGCTAAATCTTTTTTACCAAGATGCCCTTCTCACCTCAAAACCCCACCCTCACCTACTCAGGGGATTTCCTGCACTCCAGAGGAAGATGGTGCATAAAAAAACATATAAGAGAAAAAAAGATGAGGCAAGAAAGGGAGAAAATAGCATCATCAATAGTTTGTTTGGAATCTTTAGTAAAATTGACATGATTTCCATTTGAGGAAATATTTTAAAGTAACAGTGAATCACTGGTCGAGAGCACACACACTTTTGAGATTGTTTAAATACCTACTGTCTCCACTGACAATGTCGCTCATAAAGATCAAAAGTTTACAGCCAGAACGCCCATGTAAACGCTAAAAGTTTGAGTATGAAGCAAGGGCGTGCCCATTGCTGAAATCCTACAGAGTCACCCTCAGACCAGGTGTTCACTCTCAGGTGTGTTTGTGTGCAAGTTGTCCAACCTTCTCCCAACAACAGTGAGCAAACATTCCTGGCCACAGTGTCCAATCTCCAAACACAGGAAAGAAAAGGGAACAGCATCTCACTCCTCCCCTCCCTCTTTTTCACCAAAACCAGTAGAGACCAACCTGAGGAAGCTTAAATAAATAACCAATTACCATTCGTAGAGCGGGTTGAACCCTGAACAGCTTTGAGCATAGTGCTAAAAATGGAATGTTTTATTGGCAGAATGGCCCCTTGGCCAGGGGGCTTAATGTAACGAAACCCAATTAATGGAGAAGAAAGCCAGGCCGGCAGCAAGCGAAGGAGCGCCACGCGCCCGGGGTAATGAGACGAGCAAGTGAAGCCAACCACAGGGACAGGCCTGGAGGAGGCTACGGATAACAGGAAAAGCCTGCCCTGGAGAGAAATTTACATCTGTGACCCCCCCCCCCCCCACCCAAAAAACCTCTTCTTCTCCCCCTTCTTCAAAATGTAGTCATGAAACCAGTGTGCTACACTGAGTCCAAAGGGTGAAGAAGACACAATGATACTGAGGGCTTAGGCCAGCTGGTTAAAATGGAAAAAAATGAGGGATGTGAGGGATTGTGTTATGAGGGATAACACAAACCAAAAGCAGAGTGGTGGTCAGTGAATTATTCACATCAATAAAGCATGTGCCATGTATATACAGTGTTGTGGTTTTTGTGGCTGTACAAATCTAATGTGTAACAAAACTTGTGACACCATCCTCCAAATACCACTGTGACCCACAAGCAATAAGTCAAACACTTCACATTAACACACACATGACAGACTGAATGCCACTGAATAAACATGGAATCCACATCACAAAAAAAAACAAAAAAACACTGACACTGACAAGCTATAAAATGCAGTCATGGTGCACAGTGAAGGGATCGCAGCCTGCAATAACCACGAGATTAATGCATTTAACACATACATGCTACACATGAACACAAAGGAGCTATTATCAGCCAAGTTTTTACACCGCAAACAAGCACAACTGAATAGAACGAGTTGGATTACCCATCATCTTTCAGCTGGCATGTGGCGCGTGTG